TTCCTATATAAAGACATTTACGGATTGTTCCAACATACTTAGACAATGAACGGTGACGGTGGGATAAGTATATAAGGATGTTAGTAAGACTGAGCTGCGGGAACGTATAAAATACAATTTTTCTAAAAAGCGGCACGTTGGAACAACTGTTTGAACACTTGTTTAAGGAATGTCAAATGCAGATTGGTAAATAAATCACGGACGAATAATAGAACTAAAACAGCACTAAACGAGTCAAAGAGTAGAAAACAAGATTGAAGCGATGACCTTAAGGGAAATGTGAACAAGGCAGTGAGTAAGGTTTAGTGCAGTGTTCCAAGGCACTTGAAAATGTAGAACTACCTCGAGTAGGTTAATAAAAAAAAATAGGAATATGCGATGAGATAAATACAGAGGGTAATCACTGAAGATAAATATATGAGACGAATTCGGAGAAGTAGATTGTATATAGGAGTTAGAGTAGCAAGAGGAACGTAAGCGGCAAGTAAAAGAGGTCCACAAGAGGAGGTAAAGGCGATACAATGGTAAATAGTGCAGGAGACGTTTTGTTTCGATTTTTATATGGAATGTTCTGTATGTTTTAAACTTGTTTACGTACAATAAAGTTTACTTATAATTAGAGTACAGGCGTTTAAGCATTTGTGGGAATTGTAAATAATTTAATGAAACATGCAAAGAATGAATATTTATATGTATTTCGTTAATTTCATTTGTAAAAATAGAAGTTCGTACAAATAGTTATAATAGTTAACATTAGTATGAAGGTATGGAGGTATGTAAGATTGGGATGTGGATGGATGAATGAAGTTAAGGAGCTAGGGTAATCATCCGATTTTTTTATGTCTTTTGCTCTGTTTTGTCGATAAGACAAAGTAGTGCAAAATATGAATTTACGACATTTGATTCAACATCTTTACTTCTGAGAGAATCAAAGTAAAATTCATTTTAATGTTTAGTTTAAGGCACACTACTGGGCACTCTGGTTCTTATTTTATAAAACTTATATTTTTCAGAACAACTTTTGTTTCGTGTAAAATTGCTTAAAATAGTAATTACGATTTCTCCTTCATTTTGTAGTACTTATTTGATTAAATATCAGTATAATCTCACTGATTAATGACCAGAGTGCACTAGAATATACCTTAAACTAATCATTAAAGCAAATTTCGTCTTAATTCTCTCAGAAATACAATTTACTGGCGCAAATTTATATTTTTGGCTAATTTAGTAGGTAAAATTGACATTCTGCTTTATTGTGCTGCTATTGGAGTCTACCCCCTTATGTACATATCTAACTCTTCTGTGACTGAAATAAAGAAATTAATTGATTACCTAATTTTTTAAGAGATTCCAGTATTAGTGGTTCAGTGATCCATGTATCTTTAGAACCTGCATGACCACCGTCTAACCACCACATGCTTTCAATGAGTCTTAGGAAGTCATCGATCTCCACATCCAAATTTTGTTCACTTTGATAATAATGAAACTCGTGAAGCAATTGATTCAATACAACGCAACCTTTGCTGAAGCCTAATAACGTTAATTTTGTATTTTCAATAGTGAAACATATAGGATCCTGTGATTTTCAAAATATTTCAATTAAGAATTATAGAACGCTTTACATATCCCATAATATATACCTGATCTGTAGTGCATGCTTTAATATGAATTAAACAGGATTTAACCAATTCCAGTAAATGCTTTAAAGCATTATGCATTGGGAGGAATGTTGGCACGCCACATTCGTTTGATGGCACGAAGTTATCGAAACAGCTAAAGGTATTCACAGTTATTCTGAAACAATAAAAAAGATATATTGAATATTATTCCTAAAAGAGATAAAGGGAATGATAAGAGGACTGTGAAGATATTTAGAGAATAAGGAATTGATGCAATTAAGGTATTAAATAAATGACTATTACTACTATATTGAACATTGTCTCTAATATTTTTCATATACCTGGATGGTCGAACGACAAGTACATGCTTTTTAGGAAAGTTCGTTGAAAGTATTTCTGCGGTATTCTCCAAGCACCATTTTTTGTGTACTTTATTATCAGTTTTCTCCATGTTTTCTTGTAAATCCTGCAATCAACAGTTCTTATAATCGGCTGAAAATTATCGGTCATAAGGTAATTTGCTACCTGAATATCGCCTCCGAAATACAAAAGAACATCTTGGCTTGGTGGCGTTACTGACATTAGCGGGCGTGAATAAATTACGTCGTTATACCGGCCGACATAACCCGGTACTTTTCTCCAAATCGAAATTTTTGATGACATGTTGGGATATTTACTTCATAAAGGTACAATTATGTTGCTACTTTCATCCACTGCGTCTGACAGAAATACTGTAGTTATGTAGTACGATTGTTAAACACGTATGTAATCACGGTTTGCTCGTAGATCAAGTTTTTTTTTCCAAGTGTACAGAACACCATTCAATACACATTTAATTTATGCTTAATACTATAAACGTCCGAATAATCGAGTGAACTGAGGAATCAGAGATAAAATTTCCTCCTTGGGATGTTCGAGAGATTGTTTTGACTCAGTTTCAACATGAATAAACGTCCAATTATTACGTAAAGCAGAAATGATTAGATACTATTCATCTCTGCATAAAGTATAGCATGAAATGTAAATTTAGACTTTCCAATGAATTACTTTGCCGGGCAATAAACGACGTCCTCTACCGATTCAACATTTGAATGAATCACTCGTTCATGAACTGTATAACCTAGCAAACCTTAGGAAGCATTCGTTTTCAGTTTTGAGAAAATATAAATCAAATTTAATTGTGCACTGTGACTCGAACATGGAAAAAACAATATGGAATCCTCTGCAAATATTTGATTATCGTGCTAATCACAAATATGCTGTTCTTATATTGAATAGTGCTCTCCAGTGGAATGATGATACCTTACTACAAATTTGGAAAAAAGGTATGCTAACATTGTTTATGGAATTATTATGAGCATTCAAAGAAATGTATACAGAATGAGTCGCCTAAGGCAAGCCACCTGAATAACTTCTCCATTTTTTAAGTTAGGAAGAACTGTTTCAGACAAAAGTCATTTGATTTTGAGGGATACATTACTTTTCTATAGGTAGATGGTGGACGTGCTTAACAGATTTGAAGGTCTACTTATAATACCTGTTGTTTTAAATGGAATGAGGTATTTTTTTACATATGGAACAATACAACTGGGCATTCTTTATACAAAAATATTTGTCTGTGTATGTCGAAAGGATAGTAGTTTAGAGGNGAATAATAGGACATATAACATACTCAGATGATAGGATATTTTTGTATTTGGCATTAATTGATGTAAAATTGCTATAACACAGTCTAGTGTGATAGCCAACGGATGGATCGCAAGTTTCGGGTACTTTGACATCAGCATACTGGATGGCAGCTTTTTTTCTGACAGCTGATGATATTTTACACTTTTGTAATGTGATTTCTGTAAACAATTTCACGTTTTTACTTTTTCCACACACAAAGTATTTTTCCTGTCTCTTGCACGTTGTTCGGGAATATGCTCAAGTACGAATGGACTGATGAAACTCGAAGGAATAATGTTACTCTCGAGAATTGGTTGACACATTGAAAGAGAATAATGGCAAACTGAAAATATTTATTTCATTTGTCATAAATGACGCTCGTACCATCACAAATCGTCTGCCATTTGATATTTTATCTATTTAATAACTAAGTATTGCAAGGACAAAG